GGGCACCGCCGGGACGGCAGATGGTGAGACCACGGTCACGGGCGGGAGGAGGAACACGGAGGGTGATTTCTCCCAGTCCCTGTGCAGACATTAGGCACTGCCCTGTGACAGGGAAGCTCCCTCCAGCCTCCAAGGGGGATTCACGGCTCAGTCAATTAATGGTAATTGGGGTCTAGGGCAGAGCTGTCCCATCTGTGCAGCCCTGGGGACTGCGGGCATCACCGCTTCCCAGAGAGGGACCTGTTCTCCTCCTGTTAGCAGCTCGTTGACTCCATCTCTGCTCAAAGGATCAGGCAGAAACGTTTAAATTCCTGACTCTGCAGCACATTTTCAGCTGTGTCATAATCAAAACATTGAGTCAGAGGATGATAGGGCTTTTCAGGTTGGAAGAGACTTGGGGACGTTCTCCAGACCTTGCCCACAGCAGGACCAGCAGTGAGGGCAGACCATGATGCTCAGGGCTTCATTCAGCCTGGCCCTGAAAGCCCTCAAGGATGGGACCTGCGCAGCCTCTCTGAGCAACCTCTTCCACCACCGGACCCTCCTCGCGGAGGAAAGTTTGAAGCTTTTCATCATACCTAGTTTGTGTCTTGCTTGTTTCAACTTGTGCCCATTGTGTCTTGGTGTTGGGCCCCCAAACTGCACCACTGCCCATGTAGTACCCTGCTCGTCTGCTAGCAGACGTGGTTAAAAACTGCACTGGTAGTTCTAGTTACCCACATATGGGGACAATCATGATGTTGTGAAGCTTGGTCAAGCAGGACTTTGAAGCCTGGTCAGGATGACCCTGATTAGGGATAGGATAATCTAGTCTATCATCAAGGATAGACTTTGATCTCCGAACCACAGAAAATAAGCAGAACATCCTGGGCTGTAAAGAGAATGTCTGGGGTTGTGCTGAGGAAGAGTTCTTTGGCAACCCGGCAAAGGGACTGTTCGATTAATTGACCTGGCAGTGAATGTGACTGTTGAGTGGCCTGACAGTGAACTACCCTCATTGTAATACTAAAATCCACACCCAGGGGTCAAGAAGCCCCTTGCCCGGATGAAGCCCCTTCCCCTGAGCAGGCACAGCGGTAGCAGCATTAGGTAACCTGCGTTATAACTGTACGTTAGTCACTAACCAATCAGTGTCTAACAGGTGTGTTTGGAAAAGCACTAACCTCTGATTTTTGTGTATAAAAGGAGCATGAAAACCTGCTGTTGGGTGCTTGATTTGTGGAGAAGTCCCCCGAGTGCCCAGGCCTGGATAAACTCGGTGTCTGTCCCGGGTGTGTTCAGGCGGGTGGTTGCCCGGCGGCACCGACCCGCTCTCCGGAGAACATCCCCACTGTGAGTCCGTGAGCGCCCAGCGAGGGGGGTAACCCCTTCCCCCCAGCTCCTGGCCAGGTTGCTGCCGGTCGCCCTCGCTGCCAGCACACGCTGCGGGGTGGTGCCCAGCTCCCCGCGGTCCCTCCAGCAGCCAGCGGGTCCTCAGCCCATTTTGTGGCAAAAACGCTGCAGGATTTTACATTTGCTCTTGTCGGATTTCACACTCCTGCCCCAGCCTGCCTAGGAGCCTCCACGTGACAGCCCAACTCTGGAGCATACTGACAGCTCTGCTTGGTTTGGCACCTGACGAGGTGTGCTCTTTCCTGGCTGTGGATGGAGATGCCAACGAGGACAGAACCTTGGCTGTGCAACCAGCATCCAGCGGGATCCTGGCACTAACCACCTCCTGGCACTAACCACCACCTCCCAGCTTGACCACCCCAACCACTTATTTTCCCATTTTTTTTGCGCCCTGTTGGAATGGCAGTGGCTCCCAGAGAGCTCCTCTCTGGTCACCTTGACAGGGTGACAGCCACCAAAAGGCGGGACAGGCGTGTGGGGCCAGTGACCTGCAGAGGGAACACGTTTACGGGAGCCTCAAGTGATGCCAGCTCTCCGTTTGTAAAGCTCTGGTCTGACATCAAAGCCACATATTTACTTGGTCGGTTCCTTTAGAGAAAAGTATTTGATTAATTTATTATCTGGGCCACAGCAGACATTCACAAGCCACATAAAAAAAAGGGAACTCCCCATTGCTACGCACATGGCTGTTTCTTCATGGAAGCAGGGGAGGAGATCTGAGAGCTCAGACCAGGCGCTTGTGCCAGGCACGGAGATGCCGCGGGGACAGATTCCTGTGGAGAAGCGGGGAAGGGCCCAGGGCCGGTGGGGGAAGAAGCCTCTCCTGTTCAGATGAACAACAGGAGAGCTGGAGAAGAGACAAGCTCGGAGCAAGATGCCGAATCCAGAGAGCGTGGCAATGCCCGGGCGCTGGACGGTCTCCCTGGCCCCGCCAGCGCGCGACAGGCCCCCGGCAGGTGCGGGACAAATGCAGTCGAGGGGGTTCCCCAGCGGCACAAGCGATGGCGGCAGCAACAAGCATGGAACAAAACACTGCCTATGTCTTACTGTGTGTATATTTCTCACACGTCTCTAAGCACTTAGCTCACACAATTGCTTAATTACGAGCAGAAATTCCTGGCTAACGAATAAAAATCTTATCAAGGAAGCACATTTCTAGCAGGGGCTCTGAAAACTACAACAAGGCAGTGGCAGGTCGTGAAAGGAATCCCTGAGTCCTGGTACAACAAACGTGTGCCCTCGGCTCAGCGATCTGGACGCTTCGGAATGAGGGGGGATGTGCCAGCAGCACCAGAGTGGATCCGGCACCCGCCTCAGAGTCAGCCCCTTGAGGACGGCGGTGCCTTCCCCAGCAAGGCTGGAACTGGTCTTGCAAAGGACAGGACTCAAAGAAGGATTGAGAAGGTATTTTGGATGCTAGTTAGCAAATTCTCACTTAAATGAGAAGGAGAACCTACAGGAATTGCAGCTGACCTTCACACTAGCTGGAGCAGAAGGTTGTTATTAAAGGAACCAGTGAGAGGAACAGTGCAGTTATTCAATATAATGGGTCACACAAGCCTATGTGTAGTTAAAAATAAAATCTATTACCCGGGAAAATCAGCTCAGACGACTCTACATCACCGAACCCTCACCGCACCTCCCCTGGCTGAGCACTGCCCAGCCCCATGTCCTGCAGTTCTGCCATCGCACCCTGGCAGCTGGTAAATCCCAAAAAAAGAAGGAAGAGCAAGTTTTCCCCTTAGCTGGGGAAGGAACTGGTGCTCACACAGAAGGCGGCAGATTCCCACAAGGTTTCCAGAAGCCTCTCAACCTCCATCGTCACCAGGATCGACACGTCCAACGCACCCGGGCTTTCCAACGCTCGCTCTCAACGGCAGGATGCTCCAGGAGCGAGGGGGCAGCTCACGGCACCGGTGAAGAACCATCCCAGGAGGGACTGGGCGGGAGAAGAGGAGACCAGCAGGGCAGGACGTCTGCCCCTCACACACGGCCACGACCAGCCCAGCCTGCCGCCCCCCGGGCTCTGAGGCGCGGTGAGAGCTGGAGATGATGCGAGTTCGGAGCCTCACCCCAAGTGAGCAGCCGGCCGTGCCACCGCGGACAGGCAGGCCGGGCTGAGGACAGAAGAAACGGACCCACAACGGCGTCTGTGTGTCCACAAAATGGTGTGAAACACAGAGCAGACCTCACGCTCTTTGCCAGCAAGGCTTGCTTTCAGGTGCCTGCGTTTTATTCTCACTTCTCACAGACCGCATCTGCTGCTCTCTCAGCAGCAAGTCCTGAGGTTACATTTTATGGGTAAAAGCTGGTTTCCACACAACCTCTGATCTGATTTCCACAGACAGTTCCTAACTCTAATACACCCATAAAGTGGATGATTTTCCCTTAACTCCTGAGTGATCTGGTAGAACCCAATTTGCAGAACATAATCAAGGCTGGTAACGAAGACTAACCTCGAAAGAGCGTGGACATCAAATCACTGTCGCCAACTCCCACTTCCCTACTGCGAGGGTTTTGCTTTTCTCAATCACCACATCACGGAGCCATGTGATTACAGATGAAATCCCACTTTGGAGGATTTTCCTCAGTAACCCTCTGACCTTGCTGACTCCGAACAACTGTCTCAAATCACCTGAAGGGCTTGAAAAGCAGTAGGGGAAAGAAAGAGAATCCCCAAATTATCACCACTTTTCAACTCATATGATACTCAGTGGCCAAATTCATGACTTTTAACATGTATTTGGGCCTCAGAACACTGCCTTCCCTCACAGCCTCTGTCACATCCAGACCAAAGGAGGCAGAGCCTGGGGACAAATCCCAGCAGTTCTTTCAAGCTGAAATAAATGTTGATTTCCAGCAGCATCTGACCTCCAGCACTGCTCGCTGCCAGCACCCCGACGTCACCGTCCCACCGTGGGTCACCCACAGACCCGTAGCCAACAGCGACAGTGGGAGGCACCAGTGACATGAGCTCCTGAACCCCTGCCCTGTGCACCCCGGGCTCCGGCACACTGGCTGCACTGGCCACGCAGATGAGCACTGGCCACCGGCCAGCTCCTGCCACCTGGCATTTCTCACCACGAGGCTCCAAAAGGGGAAGGAAATTACAGAAATACGGTGTCCTGAGGATGACTCGGTGTCCCCCCAGGAGTCCGGGCACAGTTTTGCACAGAGGAATGTTGAAGTCGGGACACGACCAGCCCCCAAGGGCCGGTGGCCTCACCACGGGGACAGCACGGAGGGACGCGGAGCGTTCGGAGAAAACAGGCAGGTTCGAGCAGAGTCTGTCAAACGGGAAGAGCTTGGCAAGGCCCAAAATGGAGCGACCCCCAGGCTCCACAGAAGGGACGCTGGGGGCTCTTCCAGCGCCCCAGTGCAAACCGTTCGCTCCGGCAGCCTAGGGGCTGCACGACCCCCGCGCCGAGGAGCCTGCCCGTCCTCCAGCTGGACCGCTCCACACCTCCCCTTCCCCTTCAGCGCTGTGGCTTCTGCCTCGGCGCAGAGCAACCACACTCTCCTCCTGAAACGCTTGTCTTTTTCCCTTTCCTTTCATTTTTTTAAATTTTTTTCCCCACGTTCCCCCCCCCACCATTTTGAAGACTCACCAGGCACCATCCCTGTCAGCGCTGGAGCGGAGTAGCTGCCCTGTCCGGCCGGAGGGACGTGCGGGGGGTATCCTGGGAGGGTTGTGCTTGCCAGCTCGCGACCTGAGGAATCAAACCAACAAATCACCACGTGAGCATCGCGACGAGCGGACACGGTTTTACATCTCCCCGAGCGCCCAGAACACAGCCATGCATTTGTCATCACTGCTCTGCGAGGGCCAGCATGGGATTTCCAGCCTGGCAGGGAGGGGAGGCACAGTTTTGCTTTCTGTATAAGCTGCCACAAAGCTCTGACGAAGTGTGAGACAGGAAGGGGAAGAGCCTGAACTCCAGCTGCTCGCCCCTATTCCCAGTTTTCTCCAAAGCTCTGATTTGCAAAGTCAGAAACAGCGAAATGTGAAACAACACTGATCTTAATGACACTTTTCCAGAAAACTCTCCAGAAAATCACAGTGCATGGGCTGACAGTTTGCAGAGGTCTAAATACAACGCGGGACATGGTTTGTATCTCTTATTAAAGACAGTTTAAAAAAAAAGACAAACACAAGACACTGAGATGTGAAGACAGATTCAAATACAGTTTGCCATGGTGCCAGAGGAAGGGTCAGATTTGCAGCCACAGCCTCACGTAGTGCTGTTTACTTAGACCACAGAAATATTTCTTTTTATTCGAGTACCCACAGGTCTTCCATGGAAATAACCCTGCAGAAAGCAGGCTGTGGGTGTCCCCCATCTCCCTCTGCCCCCGGACCAGGGGGACGGGGTGCCACCTCTTCACCTCCTTCCCGGACACAGCTGCCAGCGCTGCCCAGGACACGTCACTGCCCACGGAGCCAAGGCGGGAGGTGCAGGCAGCGCAGCTCGCAGAGCGCGGCAGACCTGACATCCCACACACGGATCCTGGGGCAGCCGCAGGATTCCGGGGAAGCCATAGACTCACGGAAATGCAGAACGGTTTGGGTTGGGAGTGACCTGAAAGATCATCTAGTTCCTACACCTCCTGCAGGGGCAGGGCCACCTTCCCCCAGCCCAGGCTGCCCAAAGCCCCGTCCAACCTGGCCTTGAACCCTTCCAGGGAGGGGGCAGCCACAGCTGCTCTGGGCAGCCTGTGCCAGGGCCTCACCCCGGCACAGGGAAGGATTTCTGCCTTAGATCTCGTCTAAACCATTAGTGTCTGTCAGTTTAAAACCGTTACTCCTTGTGCTGTCACTACACACCCCTGTAAAAAGTCCCTCTCCAGGTTTTCTGTAGGTGGAGGTGGCCCAGCAGGAGGAAGGGAGGCTCCTGTCACCCTGCCAAGGAGGATCTATCCCTCATCCCAGAGGGGATCCTGGACCCCAGTCCTGGTCTCCTGGACTCCCACAGCATCCTCAGACAGATCACTATCCTTGGGTAAAGTTGCCTTCAAAGAGCACTCAGGCGCCTCGCAGCATCTACCCTGGGACCGCCAGCAGTGCTGCTCTGCCCGAGCTACCACCCCGGCCAGGCAAGGGGATCCCCACAGCTGTTGGCCCAAACCAGCACATGAACTGTCAAAAATCACTGTGAGCGCAGGATCCTTCATCAAAACGTGGCATGTCAGGTCAACGAGAAAAGTTACGTGACTTTGTCAATTTTAGTGCCACTGACAAGAAGAAGCACACAGATTCTCATGTTTAAATTGTTTTCCGTAGGCATTTGGGTTTATGACAGAGTTTTTTTCAAGTCTCTACAGCTTGGAGAGGTTGAAACTAAATGTTCTCTCATGAGCCAAACCCACTCTTGAAGTCTTTTGGTTGGCAGAGATTTTGAGCCACAATTTCAACAATTTCATTTTTAACGGGTCTAAAAATAAAATTTTAAAATCTTTCTTTTTTCGTTACCATCAAAGAAATGAGACTTCATCTGATGAGATGAGAGACGGGAATGCCAAGTTATTGCAAATCGCTGCTCACCCCCCGGGTCACGGCCACGAAGGCCACTTCCCCCACGGCCCCCGGCAGACGGAGGGGTCGGCGCCGGAAGGCTCCGGCAGCGCTGGCACGCGGGCATCGCTGCAGCGATCTCTCAGCACGTGCCCCACTTTCCTCAGCGCTCTGCATCCACAAATTGGGCTGCGCGCCGTTCCTCTCAGGCCCTTCCTACAGAATATTTATGGTGCATCCACATCCTGAAAGAATTTAAGGTTCAAAACAGTTGATTAATTTGCTCTCCAGTTCTAGGGGAAAGCCAGATCCCTTACGGAAGGGCATCACGAATTCTAATTATTCAGTGCAAGTAGAAAATGGCTCTTTTAGATTAAAATGTTTTCCCCTCGTCACTGCCCTGCTTTCTCCTCACCTGCACAACATTAAACTCCGATTGTGTCATCTCTACAGCCTGGGGAAGGCAAAAGCATCTGCGATCTACTTAAATTTGGTTGCAGAAGCAAAGTTCACCCCAGCGCTGGCAGAGAGCACCGGCCCTTGACTAAGGGTGTCCCTGTTGCGGAAGAGCATCTCACAGCCTGACCCCCGTGCTGGTGCCACCCCCCAGGAGCCCTCCCTAGGGCCAAGAGGGGACACCACCGCTCCTCCCTTCCTCGGCAGTGTGCCCTCACTGCCGAACAGCCCGAAGTCTCATCTCCTAAAGGTGCCCAGGTTTGCCAGCTCCCCTCCCAACCTCTTCCACACTGACCACTCCCCACTTTCCAATAGCGATTAAAAAAAACCCCCAACAACCCAAACCTACATTTTTTTCAATATACTGGAATATTTTTAATTTTCTCCAAAGCCACGGTCACTCCCAGCACGGTTAGGATCATTGTCAAGGGCACTGAGCAATGGAGCCACCACTGCAAATACCAAGAAAAGCAGGATCTCCACTCCTCCGCCATCCAGACACCACCACTCATGGTCTGTACTACAGGCCTGGTCTGGTTTCCATCACATCTGATTTCCACATTAAACATTCTGGCACCTCCTGACAAAACTTTATGGCAGGGTCACTGCAGCCAGGCCTCAGGCAGGGACCAGATCAAGGGAGGTTGGCAGAAGGTGACCAAGGCCACAGCTGCAGGTGCTGCACCCCCACCTCATCCCCCCAGTTGCACCCAGTGTGCTTCCCCCAAAGAAAGACTGGGGCACTCCCATCTCTATGAGATTTTCCAATGCTGGCAAGCTTCAATTGCACTGAAATAAATTATTTCAGAGAAACACTAATAATCCAGGCACACAGGGAGGATCAGAAGCAGCCTCCACCCCAAGGTGTTCCCATCCTACTCATGTAGGCAAAGCTGTAAGAAGGAACAAACATCTACGTTTCAGCAGTGGGGCACAGAGACATAGAGACTAAGGCCCTTCAAGACACACTTACACCTAAATGCCTTCGGTCTGGGCTTTTTTAAGGTTGTTTTAGATGCTAGAAGTCAGAGATGGAGCACAAGCAGCTGCAGACGGAGCTGCCTCACTCCTTGCGAGCGGGCGGGTGTTGTGCAGGACGGAGCGGCTCAGCTGCCAGCTCCAGCCTACGGAGAAGCTCAGCTGGAGCAGAGCCCAGCAGGATCTCCAAGACTTGTGCCAACGCTATGAGGCCACTGCCTGAACCTTCAGGTCCCCAAGTACCTTGCTGAGTCTTGCTCATCCAGACCCCAGAGGAGAAACGTCTTAAGGGAGAGGGTGCGAGGACGTGTGCGGGGCAGGTTGTGTTCACCACACACCATGCACGTGCTTGTGTTACTGAAGGTGGGATAGATCCACGTGCTCCGAGCAGGATGCGGCGAGACTGGCAGTGTCCTTTTCCCCATCGCAGCTGGGTCCCAATCAAGTGCTGTCTCCTCCACCAGGGACCTTGCCACAGATGCTTCCCACCACGGCAGCAGAGAGAACCTCCATCCCTTTGCAAGGCCGGGGGGTGAGGATTTGGCACCTTCAGCTGGAGACAACAAATATCCTGGAGGCTCAGGAGAGCAGCCAGCAGCCAGGTGTGATGTTGAGGAGAGGCACTGCCACTGCACGAGTGCGGTGTGAGGGTGGTGACTCCAGGCACCCACTGTCTTGCTTTTCTACAGGCCAGAGAGAAGTGCACCCTTCACCAGGACACCGACTAAGCCAGGGACTGGTGTGAAGTAGGTTGATGGAGACAGGATAAAAACTGTAGTGACACCAGGAGTGATGTCTGGACAGAAAGGGGGAGTATGGGAATACCTGCACTCCACAGTCCTTGCCACAGCATCACACAGGCATGGCAAATAACCTCGCTGTGAAAAGCAAAAATGCAGAGCAGAAGAGACCTGAGGCTGACTGGAAAAAGCTCCATCCCGGAGATGGAGGTAAGGAGCTCATTTTTGGTTTTAAGCGGTGCTGCAGACAAGCTGATTTCCCTCAGCCCTTCCAATGGACAAAAGAGCAGCACCACTCCTTCGGTGAGCTGCTTTGGTCTGAGGGACTGAAGGTGCTGCCGCACAGTCAGCGACGTAACATTTCAAACCCTCTTCCCACCCAGGCGTGCTGCAGCAAGGAGGGACGGGCTGGCAGGGAGCAGCGAGCGGTTATCAGCACCGACTCATGACGGATGGCAACGGCACCACGGGCTCACAGCTGTCCCCGCCACCGAGCCAGGGCTGCCCCCGGCACCCGAGTGGCCGAAGCACTCTGCACAGCACCGGCACCAAAACCCTGCAAGGATCCAACTGAAAAACCCGACAACGTGCCAGCTAGACCTGTCTGGAGAGGGGCTGGGGACCGTGTAGCTGGAGAGCAGAGGTACCCCAGGGGACAGGGGAGCCGGCACTGGGGGGAGCAGAGCAGATCCTCTGATACAGACGTCCCTGCACACACACAGCCATCGCGAGCTCGCTACAGGGATGAAAAGTTGCACGTGATTTCCATTCTTAGGCACGTCCCTGCCAGAAATTGTCCCGCACTACTCCAGAAAACAGGCTATGATGATGCCGAGCAATAACAATTCCAACAGGCACTGCGGGACCGGAGGGCGCAGGCGTGTGTCGAGGGCTGGGCTCTGCACGCAGAAGATACACAATAAATGCCGGTCCCTCCATTCACCGGGAGCTGGCAGCGCGCTCGCGCTGAAAGAAAATTATCTTTTCCCCCAAAAAAAGTGAAATAAGTAATTTTCTTCCATAA